CCCGCGTCCCCTGCATCGGCAGGCGGACTCTCAACCACTGCGCCACCAGGGAAGCCCTACTTTTCACATTTTGATGTTTAATCCATCAAGCCTCAATTCTTGTACATGGTGTTAGGAATCCAGGATCCAGGTTTTATTTTGTTTTGTTTTTTCCACTAGAGAGTAAGCTAGATTTCCCAACAATACCAACAAAACATTCTATACTTCCTCTCATTTATTTGTGGCAGCACCTGTATCATATATTAACTACGTAAAATTCTGTCTTAAAGCTTCCTATTCTGTCCCTGTGTTCTATTTGTCTTTCTTGCAACAATATCACACTGCTTTATTACTGGACTTAATATCCATTTGGCAAGTTTCTCTCTCTCTCTCTCTCTCTCTTTTTCTCTCTCAGTTGTTTAGTTATTTGTGATCCTTTGTTGCTTCTTTTTATTTCAGAGTAAGTTTATAAGTTTCTCAAGCAGCCCAACTGGAATTTTATCGTGATACATTAAATTTATAGAATAATTCAGGGAATTGACATCTTTGTAATATTGCATCATCCCATCCAAGAACATAAAATGTTTCTCTATCAGTTTGTCTTCTATGTTCTTTACTAGAGTATTCAAGTTTTCTGCATAAAGGTCCTACTTAATTCCTAGGTGTTTAATTATAGTTTTTTCTTTCTACTATTGAAAACAGTTTCTTATTTTTCATTATATATGCTAGTTATTGCAACTGTAGAGAAAATTTCATTTTTATAAGTTTATCTGTCAAACCTATTAAACTCTTACTGTTTGGAATATTTTCTCTGTTTGTTTCATTGTTACTATTGATTTTTTTCTTACAGAGATGATATGCACTGTATTGGGTTTCTATTCCTGCCATAAGAAATTACTACAAACTTGGAGGTTGGAAACAACCCAAATTTATTATCTTACTGTCCTGTAGGTCAGAAGTCTGACACAGGTCTCGCTGGGCTAAAATCAAAGGATCAGCTGGGTTCCTCTCCGGAGGCTGTAGGGGAGAATCTGTCTCCTTTTCAGCTTCCAGATGCCACCAACATCCCTGGGCTCATAATCCCCTTCCTCCATCTTCAAAGCCAGCAAGGAAGAGTCAAGTTCTTCTCACAGTGCATCACTCTGACCTACTCTTCTACCTCTCTCCTTCCACTTTTACGGACTCTTGTGATTACACTGAGCCCACCCAGATAATTGCCTTTTCTCAAGCTCATGTGATTAACAATTCTAATTCCATAACCTTAACTCTCCCTTTGCCATTTTAGATAATACATTCACAGATCCAGGGATTAGGATGGAGGCATCTTTGGGGGATTATTATTCTGCCTACCACAAGCACCAAACAGAATGATAATTGTATTGTATCAAAACACATCAGATGTGTTAAAAATGCATGAGATGGTAAAGTTACTCAAAGGGGCAAAAAACCATGAGTCAGCTTTGGGTGATTTAAGAAGCAACTAATTCTGAAATCTGATAAATAAAAAGAAAGAATCAAGCATTCATACTGAATTTCTTGTTGGAACTATACCTCAGGGTGACCAAGGAGTTGATGAGTTTTCTTTATAGAAAACTCCCAGAGATAAATGAACAGGAAGAATAAAGATTAAGAATATTCATAGCTATTAAAACCATCAGTGAAAAGCTGATGAGGATTTTTACCATGGGTAGGTCAGTCTGACAACACTTAAACACACTGACCAATCTTAACATCACAAAAAGAGATATCAGACGTTATGCCCCTTCCAGGATAATGCAATAAAATACGAACTTTCAAGCCAAAAACATCAAACTTGAATCTGACCAAGCACCCAAATAAATCACCAATATACAGGAAATACAATATTTAAAGTAACTAACTGGTTAAACAAAATAGGGATGTAAGCAGCAAAATGAAGACAATATGATTTTTTTCAACAAATTGCAAAGGAAAAACAAAAATTAAAACCAAAAGGAAGACCCTGTGGACCCTGTGTATTAAAAGAGACTAAAGAGACATAACCTAATATAAAGTATTTATGAGGCAAGAGGGGAAATTTGAATGCTCACTGGATATATGAAGATCTTAAAGAATTTTTGATAATTTTTTTAGGAATGATAAGAGTGCCCAGGGTCTGGTTCTTAAAAAAAAAAAAAAAAAAAAAAGGAGCCCTTATCTTTTATAAAGTCATACACACTGAAGTATTTATGGATGAAATATGATGTCTTGGATTTGCTTTAAAAACCTCCAGTGGAGG